TGCCTCTTTTATTACGTCATCATCACACCCACACGCAACTGTCTACTCTAAATAATGCTATATAGAATGAGATAGCAAAACAAACGTGTGTAGTTATTTAAATTCTTATTCAAAAGTATTAGTTAATTTTTTTTTAACTGACAATTTCTGTCCTTTTTTAGATATTTTAAAGTGCTGTTTAAAACTGCTGCATATCACATGAAAGCATTAAATATATCATTTGTACAATTTTAAAGTAAAATAAAAGGGAATTCTGATCCTTAGAAACAGATATTAAGTAGTCTGATGATCGAATGATGGGGCAAAAAAAACTTTTTTACCTTTTAAACTAAAAAATTGTTTATTTATAATAATATAATTATTATAAATAATTATATAATTATTTATAATTGTTTATTTATAATTATATTATTCGCGCTGTCGTGCCACAGGTCCCTGGTTCAATCCTCGGGCCGGGCAAGGTTGACTCAGCCTTTCATCCCTTCAGTGGGTCGATAAATAAGTACCAAGCATGCTTGGGAACTAAACACTGGGGTTTCGCTTTCGGTTGACCACCTGACCGGAACATCTGCTCCTGCACCCCAGAATCCAAGGTCAAGAAAACTGAGATGGGCACAGTAGGCCTTGGCCCTCTTGGGCTGTCGTGCCACTGAGTTTATAAATAATTTATAAATACTCAAATTGCTTGAAAGATGATATGTACCCTACTAGTGACAACGAAGTTTTTTGTTTTATTCAGTCATTTATTTATATTTATTATGTCCGACAATGTAAAAAAGAAAAAAAAATGCATTTTCTTCTGAGGGCCCCAGCTCCGAATAAAACTTTAAAAAAAGAGGGGGGAAAGTAGGATCTGGGGGCCCTTGTCATCTCGGGGCCCCAGGCTACAGCTTGTTTAGCTTATACGTAAATCCGGCCTTGGTAGCAGTGTAAGATATATATGTTCTACACATTATTCTTTTATAACAAACGAATGTGTATGGTCATACTTTGTAATGATCATTAGCACAAAAATCTGAACTTGTATGTATAGCACTAAATAAATAAAACGAATCTATCAGCATAAAATATTCCCACTTTGCTATTCATCAATACGTCTAGAATAAATCACATTCACTCGTCTTCAGGGAATGGCGAGTAAACTTTTTCTCTTTTATTATTGTCCTTCTTCCATAGATATTCGTGGGGGGGAGGGGGAGTGAAGTAATTTTTAGTATTTAAACTTTACCGCCAAATTTCTTCAACTCAGAGATAAACCGCTGGAGGACTTGTAACATTTAGCTCCAGTTTGTAGATAAATGTGAAAAACAAAACTAGCAAGTACACCTTCAAGTAACGTGAAAAAGATTTGCATAATAATAAAATACATAATATACATGTGAATAAAATACATTAAAAAAATAAGAAATCTATGTTAATTAAAAGAAGTAGAGGATAAAGAATTATATTCTTAACAAATTCGATGTGCAATACGGCGCTGTATTTAATTAATTTTGAGTTAAATAACATCCTAACTTATGTAGGTTATACATGGCTCAATTTTAACATGCCATTTTGCTTATAAGCGATCAGCTGGCACTAACATCATAGGTCTCATGTGTGGATATCGGTGGTCTTCTTCTCCTTCTTCTTCTTGACTTCTTCTTGAACTTGGGCCTAGTATCCCACTGTTTTCTTTCTTTTGAATTATACTTTTACAGATAATAGGGGTTTTTTTTTCAATTAAAAAATACTTTTTAAAACATCAATCATGAAAATGAAGAATTAATTTAACACTATGAAATACATATACCATTGAAAGTAATGTTTTCAGCATTTCTCAAATTTACCTCCTGAATTAGTTTATACATGGTTGCTTCACTAACTTGTTTTACAGATAATCGGTTGATTGCTGGCCATACATGTAGAGTATTCCATAATAACCACCCATGAGCCGTGATGGCTCAAGGGATAAAGCGTTCGCCTTCCAATGAGGTGAACCGGGATCGAATCCTAGGGATGGCAGGTCGATACGAATTCTGCATACAAATTGCAATGCAAAATATATTCGGTGGTAGACGGATCAGGGGTTAGGATCCCCTTGTCGTCAGGCTAACCATGGGAGTTTGCCACGGTTTTCCTCCTAATGTAATGCAAATGCGGGTTAGTTCCATCAAAAAGTCCTACACGAAGGCAAATTCCTCTCAATATTTGATCCAGGAGTTCCTTTGTCTTCTGCGTTGGGTTCAAAACTGCAAGTCTATGGAGTTGAACATCAGAAGTCGTAAACCCAATGACTTTTCAATGACGGTTATACAATAAAATTTAAAATGACCACTCTTAATATTTATTATTAGAATCTTTTAATAAAATGAACTATTCCACATTAGAGAAGCAAATAGATATTTCAGCGGGGGGGGGGGGATCAAAACGCTCTCATACTCTAACAAAACACTCCTAAAGATGACTTTACTGAAAACATCAAATCACTATCAACTTCCAATCAAACCTCAATGTATTAAATGGTGACTGGTGCATGTTAAATCTGTCGGGATCTCAAAATCCTCCAAGTTCCCATAACAAATCAATTCCTCTGGGACTACTGACCCAGGAGTTCCCTTGTCTTCTTAGCTTAGATTCAAAATTACAAGGCTACGGAGATGATCGTTGGTAGCCGTAAACTCAAATTTGGGTCGGCTATTCAACGATGGTTATAAAATAAAATAAAATAAAACATCAGTGCAAGTTCTTTCTAATAATTACATTTAAACCTAACGCTGTTTCTCCAGGCAATCAAACAAGTTTTGATGTTTTCAGTCCCGGTTACCTCAGTAATGATTAATGAGACTAAGTTAGCGTTTTTTCCTCTCTTAATTATTAATTTATAGTCCAGAATAGGAATACATTTTTGACCTCATTCCAAACTGAAAACACTTCAGGATTCTTAATATATGCATTAAGAGGATCGTTAAAAAATACTGTTAAAGATTTGGTTGTTTATTGTTAATTGTGTAATTATCCTATATAATTATAGTTTTCTTGCCCCCCCCCCTTTTTTTTTTGAAATTGAAAAAATAATTATGATAAAATGCAAAAACATATCCTGTATTTCGTGACATTTAGTTTAAAATGTTTGCAGTATGCCGATATGCTGGATGATTTATCACTGAGAGTGACAATCCTGGAAGACTCCGTAACAAAATTACAGGCTGAAGACAATCAAGAGCTTATTGATAGGATTGGTAAATGCGAGGAGAATTGCAATGCAATGAACAGCAGACTTGATCAGACTGTAAGCCATTTCTTTTCATTTCTCATTTTTTTTTTCCTTTTGACTGTTTGACTTCAAGAACCCCCTGTAATTTTGGCCCATTGTTAAAAAAAAGACTTAACGCTGGTCGCTTTCGATTCAAATTGGCTGAAAGATTTTTCTCTTTCATTATTAGTTGGCGAGTTTTAAAGAATGAGAATGTCTTTCTTTTTCTTTGTAGTACTAATTACATTTCATTCGAGATCTTTTCAGCGGCGATATTTAACGAATCCTAGTTCATTTTTTTCGATAAAAAATTTTATATGCTTTTTATTTTTTAATTTGTTGCTTCCGTTTGGTATTGAATTATTTCATTGAAAGAATTTTTCGCATTTCAAAATGCCACGTAGAGTTAGACCACTCACTCAAGAAGAAATCGATAAGTCAATGTATGATTTCAATGTTGAAATCTACGCGGATTCTGAATCTGAGTGTAAGGAGGAAGAAGAAAAGTAATCGTTTGCTCAAATGTAGGACTCAAATGTGTAATCTCAAATGTAGGACTTCAAAGTTTAAAAAATTAAAGTTTATTAATTAAAAAGGTACCGCTTTCATATTACAAATTCAGATGACCATATACAATCGAAACCAGCCTGAAAATTCTACGCATTAATTAGAAGAAGAAAAAAAAGATGTACAAATTATATATTTAGATAAGCTGAATTTTCTAGAAGTTCTATAAATATTTACTCTCCTCTGGGAAATATTTGCACTCAGTTCTTTAATTTTGTAACAGTCGTTTAAAAATCAGGGAAAAAGTTAAAATTTATTTTAGGGGAAATTTCACATTGCATAATTTACCCTTCTGTGTCTGGTAAAACAAATAAATAAATCACCGAATCGAATGAGAATACCGAATACTAACGGATAAGACATTGCTCGAGAAATAAAATTATTACATTTTAACTAAATAATTTAAAGTAAAATCGCTAATTATTACGAATCTGATCGATAAAATATTTGGTATTGTGAGCTAAAAATTACCTTATAGTATTAAAAGATTCTATAGTTTGATATTTCGAACTATTTTTAATATTTTATACGTTTGTTTTAAAAATTTAGTAACATAATTAAAAACCTATAAATATCACAATTTTAACTTTATTCTTCTAAAAATTTTAAAGTCTAAAATAATTTATGTTGCTCCTTTCAATAGTTGTCTTCTAAGATTTTAAATTATGTTAATATTAAAAAAGCAAAAAATTATAATTATATTATAAAAAGAGAATATTGTTCTTTTTTATTTACTATGAGTAATATGCAGTTTCATAGTGTTAAAGGGAAAATCTAATTAAATGTTCCAAACTCTAAATCTAACTTGCACAAAAAGATCGAAGCATACGAAAATTTCTTCATTGGTAATTATATTGAACCGAACTTTTGAAACCGTGAAACAATTTTTTTTTCTTTGAAAAAAGTAGCATTTATATCATTAATTTATTCCAAAAAAAAAAGAAGAAGAAAAATACTGTTGAAAGCTGAACATTTTTTTAAATATTTGTGGAAAGAGGAGTGAGCATCTATTGGAAGGGTTTGAATGCTTGTTTAGTCACAGTGAAATCACACAAAGTACAATCACACTTCAAAGTGAAATCACACAAAGAAGTTTAGTCACAATGAAACAATTTCTACTTTTCAAACATGATAAATTACTGAACTATTTTAGAAAGGTGTCGTTCCCGCCTGTTGATTCAAGTTCTCAGAGACAAATTTTTCTTTCAAGTTCCGACGAAATCTTTCCTGCCTCTTCCACAGCAGGCAAAGTGCCATTTCCTGCTTTTTGTTGTGTTATCGATCAGAATATGTCTCCGGTGGTCCTCTTATTTATTATATATTTTGGTTTCTGTCATTTTTAAAATTCTTAACAATAGTTATTCCAAACACCTGAAGAAGGACCACACCGTGACCAAAGTAAATGTATGGTTCACAATCATTATGATGTCAATAGAACTTGTATAGATGCGTCTGATAACAATTGATGACTTAAAAATTTTCCTATACATACGGCAATCGTGAAATCAGTCAGGTGAAAAAATTTTCCTCTGGTTACGGCGCATTTTTGCAGAAATTCTTCCCCACTTAGTCAGTGGGAGATAACTACTAAAACTAGCTATGAATAGGAAACGTTTTGTTGTAATTTGTATGCCACGTTTCTTGGAGGCAGGGGCCCTACCATGAGCTACCGGCAGAAGTTGCAGGGTTGCAGTATGTATCGTTATTGACTGTGATATTTCGGCATAGTTAATGCATTCCTAGGCATTTTTTAGTGATGTTTAACACATTATGAGAAAAAGTTAAAATATAACTTATAATTAATTTTACATGATAAAATGATATTTTCTCTTATGTAAATCAATCATTCATTTAAAAAATTATTTAAAAATGAAACATGCATTTTATTGTAACAGAAAATTTTTTAATAAACTGTTACAAGAGAAACTCTTATTTTTTTCTAAAAGAGCATTTTTTTGTAATTTTATTCTCATCTTAAAATCCTAAACGCATTAATTATAATAAATAATTTTAAAAAGCAAATTTTTGAAACTGAAGTTTCAAATAAAGATACGTTTCAAAAGAGTTACGACGTTCATCGTTAGAATTCTAACGATGAACGTCGTAACTCTTTTATATTTTTGAAGATTATTTTATCTGTTAAAAATATAGCAAATGTAGTTAGCAGTCTCGTCTATTACATTTACGCTAAATTGAAATATAAACTTTCCTCAAATTAAAAATTTTCCGAGTACCTTTTGCCTTCATTTCTTTTTTGACTACATAAAAGTTACACGCATATAAATTATTACTCTGCTTTGATAGGAAAGTGAACTGGTTGTGTCAACTGCTTACCTGAAAAAGCATCTGATTGGATTCTTTCTTAGAGCAAGTTTGTAGAAGGTTTAATAGAATCTTAGCATTAACAGGTAGTTTTGTGGGAGGAAAAGGCTCTAGAAGGGTATTTATAGAAGAATGCGAAACCAGTTTGATTGTTGAATGAAACTTTAATTTTCTTCGTCCACCTTTTAATTAGTTTTCTTTAGAAAGTTAACAGTTTTTCGTGGGGCATCTTTTAATTAAGGGTGATGCGTTAACTAGCTATTGAGGAATATAATTTCTATTTTGTTCGATTCAAAATTGATGGCCAAGCACGGCTTAATTACAAGCATAGCTTAATTACACGTTTGTTTTTTCACTTTCAAATATTAATCTGAAAACTGTAATATGCAAGTCTTTGTACCGTATCTTATACAAGGTCCTGAAACAGTGGTGAAATACTGATAATTGCCACAATATTATGAAATTAATTGAATTTATAAATTTATTAGTTTCTTAATTCCGAAACTTATAAAAAACATGTTTCTCAAGAGACATTCCCACTTTTTCATTCTTAGGAATATGTTTAATTTTTATGCTTTTTTTTTCTTTATCTTTCTTGTAGGTGTTAGAAACAGATGAGAAAATTGAAAACGTAAAGGTAATTGAAAATATCTCGCCATCTCTTTTTAACTATCTATACAATATATTTTTATTAAAAGTACTTTCAGATGTTAGAAGAAGTGTATCGTGCAGCATCGATACAATATCTCTAGGCGTCTTATAGAGACTTAGAGCATCTCCTGTAATAGTTCCTATTCGTTAATGCGTTACATCTGTGGAATTACAGAACATAAAAAAACGATGCAGAATGATTTTTATTTATTGTTCTTGCAAATTAAGTAATTTTTTCAAAAACCTGTATGAGTCTATCTACCTTTGCAATTTTAAATAACTTCTCAAATAATTTCCTCCGTTTTTTTTACCTCAGTTAGTTATTGCCGCAAATTCTTTCTGTCTGTTCCATCATATTTAAAAAGTTAGTTTGCGGTTTTTCATTTAATGAAATATCTATAAAAAAGAAAAGTATCAGCTTGCAATTTTTTAAATACAATTAATAACTTAGTCTAAAAAATGGATGGAATTCAAGGAGAATTACACAGGAAAATGTTCTGAAAAAAGCCAAGGCCCACTCCGGGCAGTTGATGATAATGATTGGAATTAATTTTCTTATGGTTAGAAACAATTATTCATTATAAAGGACAATATACTTTATGTCTATTCTTTTATTAGCGAAATAGTTTTCCGAATAAAAAAATAAAAGGAGATACGAAAGAATAATGAATTTTTTGACAGATGTGTGTATTGTAAGAAACATTGTTAATAATGGTACAGATGCTTCAAAAACTCAAGACAAGAAAAATTCTATGATAAAAAAAATATCTGTTTTGTGCTTTTGTACACGGTATAGAAATACGATATAGAAATAACAGACTGCATAGAAATAGAAATATAATAGATTTTGATCTCTGAACGTTTTGAAGGAGGAGACAGTTAATTAAATAGTTTATTTAATGAATGATGAAGAGTGGTTACTTGGTACCATATCTTTATAAGTTAAAGTTTCCAAGAAAAAAATTAAGCAACAATTACAAAAATTTATCAATAAAGCAAGCATGATAGAGCTGTTGCAATAATTGTGATTATTTTCCTCTCTGAATTTTATTAGATATATGTACACTCCTCAAAAGTGAAATTGCAACTCCAAGAAATAATGCACGTAGTGTCGCTACGTGCATTATTTCTTGGTGTTACAATTTCACTTTTGAGGAGTGTAGATAAATTTGCTCTTATAAAGATCAAAAGAAAAACACGAGGCACTAGCCCAAGCTCTATGTTTCAGTTGTGTCGAAGACATTAAATTTCATAGGTAATAAAAGATAGTAAAAGCTATTTCTATTATAAAGTCATATGCTATTTATTTCAGCTACACTGCCACAAAACGCTTCCATTCAAGGACGTCTAAAAATTTTTGCTATTTATAACTACTTACGTTTTCCTTAAAAATGATTTTCAAAAAAATTTTGCAGAATATTCTACTTACCTTTATACCATGTCATTTAATCCCATATTCAGTACAATTTTTTTCGAGGAATTTAGACCATTTAATGTTGTGTAACATTCACCTTGCGAACAGTGGTGTTATCTCATAAAACATATTAACAAACGTTAAAATTACATTAGTTTTCCGAAAAATCAACAAAATAATAAGATAATTCTTTTTCAGGACTCTCTTGAAGATGTAAATCGACTACAAGAGGAAACCGACTCAGGTAATACTTCGAATTTTATCCTAATTTTTAATTTCCTTCTTCTCTAAATGAGTGTATGGGGACGATGTATTTTAAGGTCATTCAGTTTCATAATATTTCATAAATAAATTTATTTAGAAAAATAACAACTTTATTTATTTTTTTAAGCATCAAATTAAGGATCAAACATAGATCATTACTCATTTATTTGCAATTTATAGCTTATCATAATCTTATTAATATGGCTGCCTTAAAGCTGAATGCATGTAACCATAAACTGCTTAAATGCTTTTACGGCAGTTGTTGAAATATTTCTGAAAATAATTTAGAAATTACAGAAATCGCAGGCTCACAAACATGACCATTTTTAAAGTGAAAACCTTCGCACTAAAACTATGTTCCATTTGTCACAATAAGTTCTTTACTTTATATTTTTGAAAGCCAATAAGCTAGCAGTCTAGATGCAAAACTTGCTGCCAATTGTTTTAAGGGTAAAATGATTCCGTATTATAAAGCGTTTTAATTAGTGATTAAAATAATTAAAGCATTATTAGCTTATAAAAATTTAAAAGAAAAAGCAAAGTACATATACTAATTGTAATTGTTAAAAAACTTAATACTATCATAAATTGTATATCATATTTTGTTTCTCCAAAAGTGCAATAAGCAGATTTTGCAACTGGTAATATATATTTAAAAGATATATTCGGTGATTAGCCTACATAATCTTTTGACGTACATGGGACACCAGTGTTTCTAATATATATTTTTTATGACGCTCTAATTACAAACTAAATTTTGGTGCTTTTTAGATATAAGAAACTGTCTAATATTTTCTAAAAAAATTATTAAATTATCGGAATTATATTTATGCTAAAATATATAAATTTTAAGAAAAAAGTAGTTTGAAATATTGTTTTTTCTCTCATAATCAAAAATTCATTCATAACTAATTTTATAAATTAAAAAAATTTCAATGAGGAATAACTGTTTCTCTTAGATCTAAATAACTGCAATTAAGTGCGTGTTTGGAAGATTTTACCTTAAACGCAGAAAAAGACAACAGTGTTTTATGCTGTATTTTATAACCNTCTTTCATAATCAAAAAATCATTCATAACTAATTTTATAAATTAAAAAAAATTCAATGAGGAATAACTGTTTCTCTTAGATCTAAATAACTGCAATTAAGTGCGTGTTTGGAAGATTTTACCTTAAACGCAGAAAAAGAAAACGGTGTTTTATGCTGTATTTTATAACCATAAATTATTAAAATGAGAAAAATATTATTTTTACACTTATTTTGCTCTTTATTAATGGAAAATAACTAAAAAAAGTATGAAAATGCGTTTAATATAAATTCTGCGTCAGAGGGTTTATATATATTTTTGAAGTTTATGTCAGAAATGAAGCTTAAAATATATATTCTAAGGTTAGCAGAAAAAATTTAAAAGAAAAAAAAAAACCTTAAAACCTGTTGAGGTAGACGGTATTAAATAAATCGAAACCATTTTGATTGTCAGATGAAACTGAAAAGCAATTTTGATAATCACCAATATTTTCCTCTCAGCTTCCACCGGAAATCAAACAAGTTTCAATGTTTTCAATCACATCATCCGAAATAGTGATTTGCTAGTGTTTAACGTGATATAGTGGCGTTTTTGTTTTATTCCGACCTCAAATATTTATTTGCATCTCTCAATTTACGTTTTATTCAACTTTACCTTTACATGTATTTTGAACCTAACCTATATAAGTTAAGGTTGATGATTACAGAATATACTTTATTTAGGAGTAAATAGCTCATAATACTTTCGATATTTTGCAGCGTTAAAAGATTTAACAAAGAAACATGAGGAACTGGTGGAAATTATTGCATATCAAAAGGACTTGGAAGAACTAAATGAACTAATGTCGGATAGACTCACAGAAAAGGAGAAGGAACTAAAAATAAGAGTAAGTTTCACTCTTTTGGGGTCTCCAACCTCACCATCATGGATTATATGTTAAATATTTGATTTCAGTTTTCTTGATATTTTTTTGTACTTCACAAACTTATTATGAGAATATTGTTTTATTTGACGGCACAATACCTTTCAAAAAAAGGTAAAAAATAAAAAGGGTTGCTTTATTAGATTAGAAGAAACGGTAGACGGAAGAAAAGGTCCCGGTAAAAAAAGTACCTCCATAGGGAAAATCTGTAGGGATATTTCCCCTCTCGCTTTCTGGGCAGCATGAATGCTTCTCGCTGTTTCAATGAATATTCTTTTTTTATCTGTAATAATTCAGATTAGATCATTGAGGTAAGGAGAAGAGTAAGGGGGACTTATGGGCTGGTTGTATTACGCTTTTTTTTTTTAAATTTTATTTCATTTATTTATTCTTCTCTGATTATTTTTTAAAGCGGGAAGATACTATCTAAATTTTTCAATAATGTTTTACTTTTTTTTTGTAATTTTTTTAAAAGAAAAATATGTTTTTTTCTCTTTTAAATTATATTTTGTGAAGAAGTTGCTAATGTGAGGCTTAAAGTAGCCAATCGGGGAAGTTGGGAGGATTTATGTGTTGGATGTTTATTCGTGATTGGAGGTGAAAGTATTGGTCCTTTTTAATTAGTTAAAAACGCGCGACACGANAAACAGCGCTTGATAATTTTTAGAACTTCTATGAATTTTTCCTCGAACCTTTAAAGCTATAAAAGGATTCTTTCTGTGGTTTTCAGAAAACAATTTAATACTACACGTTTCTCAATTTTTGCATTTTTTTAAATTTAATTTTATTATAGTTTAAACTGGTGAAAATTGATTTGGATGACTCTGAAATTTTTTTTTAGCGTTAATTGCATCAAAACCAAGATACTTATAAAAACTCTAAAAACTGGAAACTTTTTCTATTTAACTACCTATCAAAAACTGTTGATTACAGAATCGTATTGGCATAATTTTGTCATAAAATTTAAAAAAGAATCTAAATAACGGCACCCTTTATACCTCAAATAGTGACTGGCTCTCGGATGATAGTGCCAAATAGAGAGAATATCCGGCATCATTTTATTAGTGAAAATTAAATAAAAATGATTTAAAGCATATTTAGAATTTCCCCTCTCCGTTTCCACCACTTCGACGGCTGAGTTTGATCGGGAGAGAAAGGGCATCATTAATAGATACAGAAACTGATATTTTTGTAATTTCTNGTAGCAATTCTCGGGGGTTGGCGAGCGTTAGCGAGCAGGAGGCGGAGCCTCCTAGTATTTAGAATTTCCCCTCTCCGTTTCCACCACTTCGATGGCTGAGTTTGATCGGGAGAGAAAGGGCATCATTAATAGATACAGAAACTGATATTTTTGTAATTTCTCAATAAGCACTTCAACTTTTATTTATTTATTTTGGTAAATTATAGTTTTATTATTTACTGTTGCTGGAAATAAACAATAAAACAAAAACTATAACATTATGCAATTTATATCTATATGAGCTACGTGGTTAATATCTGAAAAATATTTTAAAAATCGAACTACAAAAATTACAATACTAATTATTTTTACAAAACTTTGTACGAAATAATTTATTTCTAATTTTTTTTTAGCTAAACAGATTTGTGAGAGTAATTATTTTTCAAATTACATATGAAATGACTCATGCATGCATAATAATTTTTTTAAACAGATTATGAAACAATTGTGTACAGCAGTGTTTCCCAAAGTGTGGTACGCGTACCCCCAGGGGTACGGGAACAGTTTAGCGAGGGTACGCGTCCTTATGCGAAATATCTTGCAATAAACGAAAATTTCAAACAAACTTATTTAAAAACAAAGCTAGCCATGAAAATTTACGATTACGTATTTTTCTATTTGCTATTTTTTGCGGAGTTTGCAGTTAATAATTAGTGGTGTCAACAGCCAGTTGTGATTTTTAACTTTTGTGCAATTTTTTATAGTAAAAAATACACTCATTTTTTTATTAGTGGTACACAGCATTACGAAAAATTTAGAAAGGGTACACAAAAGTCATAAGTTTGGGAAACACTGGTGTACAGTGTTAAAAATAACTAACGGACCATGCTGAATAACTTTTGATCGATTGATCGCATCTTCACGTTCTAGGACTCATTCCTAAGGATTTGAAAGGATAATATCAAATATGCTAATTAATTAGAGCAAACGATGTTTAAAGTTATGAAATCAACCACAAAAGCGTACTTTTTCTGAATAAATATGCTTTTTTTTCCCGACGGATTCGGATTTTTAACCCCTATTTATGGGGGGTAACCTCAATTTGGGAAATATTGTCTATATAGTTAGGTCTGGAGAACGGTCCAAAGTTTGGAAACCTCAATGTAAATTTTACTTTTTACATATTTCACCATATTTCGAGAACTTTTAAAACAAATATTAAAATTTTTGAGCACAGTTATGATACGTTTGTGTCAGGGTTCGTGATTTTTTTTATTTTTTTAAAAAAAATCAAAAAAATCGGATTATTTTGATTTAAATCGGATTTTTTTGATTTAAATCAGATTTTTTTTATTTTTATTTAAATACACTATAAGAGCTTTAATTTATGATCAAAAAAACTTTATAAATGTTTAATCAAAATTAAATTAATATTAAAACTATATTATAACAATATTTTAGAAGCTCTAACTTACTAAAATAATTTTTCATTATAATGCATAGCGACCATTTTGATACAAAGGCATGATTGAAATTAAAAGACAAGATAAAATAGATAATTTAAAGAATACTACTTTAACTAGTTTT